CGTGATGATTTATGCATGGACGGTACCACCATTGCCAAAGAAACAAATGAAAGCTGCCTCCGCTTGGGCCTGTTGGCAAGCACACTGTCTTCGGACTGGGGAACGTCCACGTCTTCCCGGGAAGCTTTGACTTCCTTCCCTTCTCTAGGTGGCAGGCAAACATATGTCATCATTGTTTATAATCTCCTCAAAACTATCCTGTTTTGCTTCTTGGAAGTTCAGAAAAATGTTTCAAATCTGCATTTTCTGTTTATCTTTCAAAATGTGAGGCACACTCTGCACATCGTTTTGGCAAAACGGGTTTTTAAACATCCTTTTTCTTTTTTTTCCCAACTGCCTTTCTCACAAACTATGGCTTGTTTTGGAATATGTGGTAAACTCTGAGGAACAGAGAAAGGAAGTGGGCAGGAAGAGAGGGAGGCATCTGCAGGTAGCAGCGTGGGCACGCCGGGGGACGGGGTGTCCCGTGGGACGACAGCGCGACAGACGAAGGCTGGGACGAACAGCTGGAGCGTGAAGTGCCACCTCTTACCTGAAAGCGCTGCTAGACTAGGACCTCTTGGCCCACTCCTCTAACCAATTTTTGATGATTAACTTTTAGAAAAGAAAACCTCATCTGATGGCAGAAGATGAGCCTCCGGGGGCCGTCTTGAAGCCACCAGTGTTCCGTGTTGATGAGGCCACCCCAGAAGGCGTGAGGAGCGTCCTGCTGGAGCGGGGCTGGGGCGGCGACACGTGGAAGACTGGAATCTACTGGAAGGCGTCCGCGTTTCCGATGACTGACCATATCAACGTCAAGCTGTGGCAGTGACTAAACCACCACCCGGGAACCACCAAGCTCACCAGGCAAGACTGTCTGGCCAAGTGCCTGGAGCGCATGAGCAGGACGTACGGCACCTCCCTCTACAAATTCACGCCTCTGACGTTCGTCATGCCCAACGACTACACCAAGTTCCTAGCTGAATACTTTAAGGACAAGAAGATGCCAGGCACCAAGCCTAGCCATTGGATTTGCAAGCCGGCGGAATCGTCTCCTAGGAGGGGGATAGTTATTTTCAGTGACATTAAGCACTTGCTCTTTGGGGATATGTATATAGCACAGAAAAATATCTGCAACGCTTTGCACGGTTTGCCACGGAAAAGTTTGACCTCAGTAATTTTCATAATGATTATGCACATTTGACCAACAGCAGCATCAATAAACCTGGAGCCTCCTATGAGAAGATCAAAGAAGTGATCGCTCATGGTTGTAAGTGGACCCTCAGCAGGTTTTTTTCCTATCTTCGTAGTTGGGACGTGGACAACATGCTTTTGTGGCAGAAAATCAACTGCATGATTATTCTCACGGTTCTGGCCATGGCTCTGTCGGTCCCCTTTGCCACCAATTGCTTTGAGCTCTTTGGGTTTGATATTTTGATTGATGAGAACTTGAAGCCGTGACTTTTAGAAGTCAACTACAGCCCGGCCTTGTCCTTAGACTGCTCGTCGGATGTATTGGTGAAGAGAAAACTCATCCATGATCTTACTGAGCTGGTTTACTTAAATAGCCTAAGAACCGAGGGAAAAGAATGTGGTAAAGCTGCAAAAGGAAATCCCAGTGTCTCCTTTGCTGAGGGTGGTAGAGGTAGACTCAGTCCCGCCCGTGGCTCTCTTCCTTACGAGTCTGTCCTACAACTCACAGGTAGAGCACACAAGGACTGTACCGTGGAGAGAGCTGAGAAAGTGTCCTGAGCACGCATGTACCCCCGAGCTGAGAGAGGTGATGAGCAGGCAGAAGGATCTACTGGTGTCCGCAAGACAGCCGCCCAAAACCAAGCTGAAGGCAAGGAGCAGGCGCACAACTCGCAAGGCCCTCATTCCCTGCGTGTCCCTCCTGCACTTGCGTACCCACGAGAGTGACAGCACCCCCCACATCCTGTCAGACAGTGGTGAGCAGCCAGATCCCCAAGCCGGCAACTTTGTTCTCATTTTTCCTTTCAACGAGGCCACTTTGGGAGCTTCCAGAAATGGATTAAATGTCAAAAGAATAATCCAAGAGCTCCAGAAACTAATGAACAAGCAACATTCTCAAGTGGAGGGAAATAAAACTAAAAGAAGGTGACATGGATTTCTGAAAGCCAAGGATTCTGATCCTGGAGAAAGCAATAGCTCAAGTCCCTAGTGCGTGCCTTCAGCACGTGAGCCGCGTCGCTGGGACTGAAGACGTGGCTGTGGGTGTACAGAGAACAGCTGTGACAGAGCATGCCACGTGCAGGGGGTGATTAAATTCCATTACGTCCCACGTTTATTTCCTCAGATCTCTTAGAAGAATACCACTTAGCCCCTCCCCTGTACCTGAATATGCTTTATTGTAATTATGCTATGCATTTAGTTAAACATGAGAAAAAGATTATTGTTATGTTTTTTTAAGGATTCTTACGTGAAAACGTACAAAAAAGGCCAGGAATTAACTTTTTGTTTTTTAATCAAACGTCTTGTCAAAATTATTTGGTTGACTTAATGATCAGTCATTCAGAGTGAGATGAATTTCTGAAAGCCCAAACAACCCTGTTGTTTCTAGACTCTGGCCCCTAAATCAGACCTTGTACCAAACAGCTCCCCAGGGGGGACATCTGCCACTGTATTTAAAAGTGCCTTCTTAGGCGGCTGCTCACTGCTGATGACTGTCCGAGCCTGCAGTGTCAGGGCCACCCAGACCTCAGTGTTCTCATTCTTTCCAGA